GATAAAAGTTCTAAGGTTGTGTTTGGAAATGCGTATTTATATTTGATATGTGTATTTGAAATACATATATTTAAAATACATTGTTTGAATTAATTTTAAAAAAAGAATTTCAAATACATGTATATTTAAATACATTATTTGGATATATTAAAATGTTGTTGTGTATTTAAAATTGAATTTCCTGTTAAATTAAACCCTCTTTTAATTATTATTTAAATTGAATATCTATCTAATAAGAACACTTTTTATTTTGATGAAATATAAAAATTTAGAATTAAAATTTATGAATTAGAGGATGTATTTGAAATACATGTAATATTTGACTTATTATATAATATACTCTTAATCTATACCATAGGGTTATAAATTTCTTTCATTAAAAAAATTATAAATTAAAAAAAAATATTTGCAAAAGCATCCACTTGTGGACAACATTCAAATGAGAAGAAAATGAATATGGCTAGTAAGGAAAGTGACGGTCAAATGCCAATACTAATCAAAGTGACCGAATGTCCCCACTCCCCACGTCAAATGAACCGGAAGCACGGCAAACGCATTGCCTATTTTCAAACAAAAATGAAGCACGCCAAATGACGACTTTGAAGATCCACGCCAAATTTCAATACCAAGGAAGAACCAATTCACATTCCAATACTATTCAATGTATCCACTAAAACCTTTGACTAATACCATTCAATGCATTGCCTATTTTTTAATTCTACACCAGCTCGTACTGGGGAAACAGACTTGTATTTTGCATCATATAGAATTAATTCATCATAATAACCACCCATGCTACCAGTTCTTTCTCATCTTTCTCCCAAATGGAAGATATGAGAGATTCAATTGCAATGCTACGGATTGTGAGGATGGTTATCAAGTTTCATCCATTATTGACAATAACCAGTCTTATCTATCGGGTAATACTTTTGCAAGATTGGATTGAACATGAGGTGAGCAACCAATGGAAAGCTCTCAAGGTGTATTTCCAATCGACAATGAGATCTCTGCTAGATCCTATTATTGAGAAGATGAAGAATCTATCGGAAGCCCTTGAGATGCATCTCCACAATGAAGCAGCAAAGGGTCAGCTAAAGGCCAAACTAGTCGGTAAACTTGCCATGTTCTCCGCCATATTTCTTTTACTGAATACAAATTTAAGTTCAAAATATGATAGAAGAGGAGTCAAAATGCAGTTATTGATGGTTATTGGCCTTGGCCCATTAACACATTCAAAACATTGGAGTCAATTTAAAATTCTTCATGGAAGGTGTAGTTGCATGGTAAATTCAACATCAAAGTTCACCTTCTTTATTATAGGACTTCTTTTTGCAAAATTTTATGATAATTCCTTGAGGGGCCTTAGTGCTATGTTGTGCATCTTAGTTTTTCTTCTATGTGTGCTAGTGGTATTACGACCGCAAACAGACCTTGGGTTGTTTAGTTTTATCATTGGAGTCGTTGGATCTATTACTTACAACCGTAATGGGTTGAAGTTCCCCACATGGATAATTGCTTCTATCTGTTTTGTGTTGTTCAGTTTCAAGAGTTGGTTAGATAAGCATTGGTTGGATTCGGAAGAAGATCCTGGTACAAATACCACAACTAAAAGTGCTAGTGTGTTTTTTATTTTTTCATCAGCTGCTGTATATTTTGCACAAAGTGTGTTCTTGTCTTCTAATTTCAAATCTCCCCTGTCCGACTATAAAAAGTGGTCAATTAAGGCAATCGGTATTGTGCTTCGAAGTCTCTATAAGTCCTATCATAATTCCAAAGATAGCTCAATGCCCTCTACAAATACTGAAGGAATCAATGGTTTGATTTTTATGGTTGTAAATATTGCGCATGCCATGTTCAAGTTCGCCCTTATCGCATCTCCCATGGCTAATTATAAAGATTGGCTATTTGCGATAATTAGTTATATCATTTTCTGTTTCTGGTTACGAAGCTCTTTTCCCAAAGATATGTTTCCGCCCTTTACAAATACCAAAGGAATTAAAGATAAGATTTGCGCTATTCAATTTGTCGCCAAATATGGTATTGTGGTGTTGGCTGGTTTCGAACCCCGAGTGTACTACAGCGAATGGTTGGTTATGGTTACCTATTATGTGCTTTGGTGGGTTCAGTTTCGTACATCATTTCCCAAAGATTTGTCACTATTGTTCAACACAATTGAATTTAAAGCTCAATGGTGGATAGTGATGCTAGCAACTAACATTGTTCCAGATGTCATATCTTGGATCAAACTGTCTAGAACAACATATCATCAACAACTATAAAGATGAAAATGTTAGACACTAGCTTAAATCATAGTAAGCACTTAGTTACATGAAAATTTTTATATTCCTATGTCATCTTCTTTTCATGTATATGTTTGTATCCAGTGTCCTTATTAAAATCAACCAATCATCTATAATTTTTTAGTCATTTGTGTTTTGTTCATTTGAATTTGTTGCTGTTGGTTTTTTTATATATAGATATCAAAATGGAATGCTTTTATCTTATTTTAATTTAAGAAGTATGGTTGTTTTCCATCTAATTTGTACATACTAATAAAATTGGATTCTGTACAACCTATAACTGGGATGAATTTAACTGACCATATAACTAAGGTATTTGCCATATTGCTGCCCCATATGATTCACCTTCAACAATGGAAAAGGTATTGAAAAGTCCCCCATCATTTTTTCTTTAACGTTGCCCAAAGCAAATACAAAAATCCCTTCAAAGCAAGTAAAAAATACCGTATTTTTTAATCCACTGAATTTCACACGAGTCTAACAGAAAGCAAAAATGATATGCCTACATGTAAAAACTGAACATGAATTGATAAACGTCACCCTGATGATTAAACAATTAAACGTTTTTCCTACAAGATGGAATTATAGGATGGAAATCATGGAATTGAGTTACAAAAAACTGGATTCCACATATTCCAGTAGATAGCAACAGCATATAGCTTTGACAGAAATTCTATAAAAACATCCAATGACATACTAAGTGAAGTTCTGCATCCATTTTGCTGTTTCTAGCAGTAAAGATCTAACGAAGCTGTAGAATTGTCAAAAGCAGTGAAAATCTAGTGCAACAATGTCCAGGGATCAAGTCCAAATGGACATGGGTGATTGAATGACAACATAAACATAAAAAGCAGAAAAATAACAGTTACCAGTAAAGAAAACAG